TGAGACCCCGACGACCCCTTCTGTGAGGACAGTGGTCCAGGGGATGGAGCAAGACAACGCTTCCTCCCAAATTTCTATTCTCCTAGTCTCTAAAAAGTCCGGGGCCAAGAAGAGCTCCTCCAGTCGTCCTGACCAAAGAGATACTCTAGACAAGAGGAAGTGTGCTTCATCTCCCTCTGCTATGGCTAAGAAGAAAGGAGGCACACACATAAGCGCCAACGGACGATGATCCTGTCAGCAAACTCCGATGATGGCAGAGTGAGTCTGCTTCAATAAGGGGAGAAGGAGACCTAGCACCCTGATCTCTAAATGGTCCCTTTTCAAGCCACCACCACTCCTGAGCCTATACCCATGAACCCAGTTGAAGTTGCTCAGGAGGTGGCAGAACGTAATGAAGGTTCAAAAGCTGTCCTGTCTACCATAGTCCCAGGTAGTCCAAAAGATGTTAGGGCTGCTCTTGATCAAGGGGAAGTTGTTGCCACTACCTCAAGTGACAAGCTGGAGCTTGGGGTCTAAGACCCTATTGACTGTGGGCCCTTAGATGGTCTCCCTACTCAGTCTAATCCTTCCCTCCTACTTAATAAATATTCAAGAGGGTAGGAACTCTGAAGGGTTATAGGCGAAGCCCATGAGTGATGCTCTGACCATTTTGGTCTCTACTTAAGGTGGCTCAACGTAAGGTCAAGTTGGTCTTTCTACTTTGATGAATCGCGTGGAGAAAGCTTTACGCTCAGTGGCGCGGTCTGCTTGAACTCTCCCCTCTTTCATGAGCAAAGACAAAGCACTCATAGATCTAATTCAGGTGTAGTCTTGTTTACTTTTTCCTTTTCATTCCTGCTAGCTTTGTCTTGGTTTTTTGTTAATGTTATTTTATTTTCTTCAGCTGGCTGTACTGGAGGCAGTACCTATAGAAGCTCTCTTTTCCCGCATTCATGTCCTTGAAACATACGTTATATTGGATGCTTAGAGAGTCATTCAGTTCCAACTCAGCCACAATCCCTTCCTTATCCCTGAACAAAATTTTAAGGAAATGATCTGGGCTTTTGAGGCTGTGGCAAAAGAGGTCTCCATGTCTGAGTTGGCACTCCTGTGAGCTCAAGTCCCGGCATGTTATGGCATTATCAGCCAGTACCACAAAGAACTCCCCCTCCTGTCTGAATATTTGAAGAACAATTAAGCAGTGAGGGATGAATATTTAGCTACCAAGACCCGGCCGACTGCTGCTATTGACTGGGTCCAAGAGATTGCCCCCCGTGTTGATAATCTTCGAGCATTACGGGCTAAGGTGGCGAACTTGAGGCACTAGCTCGCAGCGGTTGAAGAAGAGTTAGCAAAGGCTGAAGCTGAGGATGGTCTAGCAAAACCCGAGTTAGAGGTTGCTACTAAGGTATTGGATGAGATGCGGACCATTTCGGATGCTAAGCTTTAAGCTATGCTTGAGTTTGAAGCGGTCCTCGCACGTCACCAGACCCTTTCTGTAGATTTGGACTCAGCTTTGTCAACGTTGGAGCTCATGTGCAGCCTTTGTAAATAGTATACTTATGTATAAATACACACATTTTTTTTATTTGTTTATTCTTTACTCTTTGTAACACGATTCAATCATGATAATAAAGAACAAATATTTTTTCTCACTATACAAGTTTTGTATGCTCGGAGGCCACTCTAGGCCTCGGGTCCTTTATCGCTTTCCTATTATAATGACAGCTAATACTTCTTGAAATATTTACCATTTATAGCATGTTTGTGTGGAGTTCTATCGATGCTAGCTAACATGTACGTGTTCCCTTTAAGTACTTCGTCTACCTTAAACGGTCCTTCCCAATTAGGTGAAAACTTACCAAGTGTCCAGTCTTTGAAACTAAGTGGTAATACAAGTTTCCATACGATCTCGCCCGCCTAAAAATGTTTCCGTCTTATCCTCTTATTGTATATTCTTGAAACTTCTTTCTTCTGGGCAATCATATGATTAAGTGCTTGTAAGTGAATTTCGTCTAACTAGATTAACTCATTCATCATGGCCTCGTTATAGTCGTCAAACAGTCTTCCTAGACTACTCGAAATGCATAGCAAGGGAACTGTTATTTCAATAGGCAAAACGGCCTCGTGCTTATATGTTAACACTTACAGGCTCGTGCTTGTAGCTTCTCTTTTAGATGTCCAATATGCCCATAGTGTCTTAGCCAATCATTCGTGCCATTCTCGAGGATTCTTTTTAATTGTTTTCTTTAGAATTTCGAGGATGATCTTGTTAGAAGCTTTGACTTATCCATTTGCCTAAGAGTAATATGGTGAGGATGCCAATAACTTAATCCCACTTTTCTCAGCAGTAAAGGCCTTAAATTCAATTTCAATGAACATTATCCCTTGGTCTATTGTAATTGTTTGAGGAATCCCAAAACGAAACATAATTTGTTCCCATACGAAGTCAATAACATTGCCCTGCTCTACTTTCTTTATAAGGATGGCCTCAAACCACTTAATGAAATAATCTGTAGCTACCAAGATGAATGAGCGGCCCTTGGATGAGGCTGGATAGATTTTTCCTATTATATCTATGGCTTATCCTCGAAAAGGCCATGATTTGATAATTAGATGCATGTTTGATGCTGGCACTTGTTGTGTTGGCCCGTGAGTCTGACACTTCTTGCACCTCCTTGCATATTTAATGCAATCTTTTGTCATTGATGGCCAATAGTATCCATGCCTATGCACTAGCCATTGCATCTTTAGCCCCGACTAATGAGCCCCACAGACTCCCTCATGTACCTGTCTTAAAACCTCCATATAATTAGTGAAGGCCAAACACTTAGTAATAACCCATCGGAGCCTTTCTTGTATAATTCATCTCCAATTAAAATAAAGTGTTGAGCGTGTATCCTTATTCTGTAAGGGTAACATTGACTGGAATCTTGAAGATAACTCTTAAAATCATCTCTCCAATCCTAAGCTAACCTTTGCGAGACCGTACTATACTGTACTGTCAGACCACGTTGAATGACTGAAGGATGTTCTTTCTATTCCACCACAATTACTTTTCTAGTGAGTTTAGGTGACAACCTTAGCCCTGACGCTATTTGAACTAGTTTATTAGCCCCCCAATTTTGAGCCCGAGGAACATGAATCAACGTTATTGTTTTGAACTCCTCTAGAATCTGGGAAGCCCCGATATAATATACCACTAGAGTTGGGCTTGTGCACTTGTACTCGTTGGTTAATTGTTTGATGACTAATTGAGAATCCCCCTCTATGACCACATCATAGGCCTTCATTTCTTAAAGAATCTCAAGCCCTGTGAGCAATGCTTCGTATTTCGCCTGGTTATTAGTACACCCAAAATTTAATTGAAGAGATAATATCATTTTTATCCCTGTATGAGATGTTATCACTATATCAGCCCCAAATGCCTGTTTAGTGCTAGATCTATTGAACTTAAGCACCTAAGGTCTTAGATCTACTGAGAACACTTGTAATTTCTGTTTGTCTTCAAGGAGCTCAGCTGAGGAATGATCAGCTAGGAACTTAAGCCCCAAATCCCTTATTAATTAGGGACATGGTTTCTCTCTTGTATACTTCAAAACGAGAAACCACGTCCTCCTTACTAAAGGGTGATGTGGTTTGTTTATGAACCACGTCCAAATCTTTTAAGGAGGGATGTGGTTTATATGGAAACCATATTTCTATCTAGTAAAATGGAAATGTGGATTATGTAGAAACTATCTCCCATGGTATTAAAAGAGACATGGTTTATTCTTTTTCACATTACAGATATTTGTGACATGGATAAGCCATTATGATGTTCCCCCTAGTTGTGACCTGAAAAGGCTTAAAAATGTGACGTGAAAAGTCTATTTTATAGTTGTGTGTTTTGCTTTTTTGTGTTGAAATTGTTGTTGTAAATTTTTTTGGAGATCCTATATTACATGGGAGATTATATTCTACCGAAACTTCCATAGAAAATTTATGAATTTTGTTTTAAAAATCATAATAAATAAAGAATCCTATTTAATATGATGAATGTGTTATGATTAAAATTTGCGTATATCCTGTGCCGATCATGCCTTATTTTGAGGCATGACAAATATGCAACAACATGCTCCTTTGAATTTGAATTTGATTTCCATAAGGAGCAATAACTATTCGCGCTTGTTTGATGAAATGTGTGCGCGCTTCCTTGAGGGGGCAGTGCCGGAAGCTTAGGCCACCCGTGAAGCAATCATCTGTTATGGGATCTTCCCAGAAAAGAGCTGAAGTGAAATTCTCCCTATTGACAACCTCATAATGATGATGTTGATGGGTTAGTAAACGATTTTGAACAGTAACATGCTGGTATTTGTGATCTTCACTCTCCAAGGTAAATTGTATTGAGGGATTTATGAGGAAACTCGATCGTTGCTGGAAACTGCATTGTTAGTGGAGTTATTAGGTGGCATCCTACAAGTGCTCATTAACCTTATAAATATCCAGGTACCTACGCTATTCAAGTAGTGAATAATTTGTCATTTTCATCTTCAACTGAATCCTGCCATCCATGAAATTTTACTTTCCACCATTGGAATGTATAGGGAAACTAGGTTTGTTTTTGTTTTGCTTAATTAATCGATTAGGCAAAAACTAGTGTAGTTTTATGAATTAAAAAAATCTCCGAGAGCAGAAATTCTGCCGTGTAATGTTGCACAGAAGGTAGTGCCCCTTGAATGATGGGTCTCACATTAGCAAGGGATTGATCTATGGATAGGCTGGATTAATCCTTTTATCAATCGATCCAAGTGCCCGGCAGCACAAGCTGTTATTTTTTAAACTCAAAATGATGCAGTTTCAAGCTCAACAAGGTGAGGGGAAAAAAAAATTCAACCCGATTGACCCTATCCTAACATCTTGACTGGAATGTCTCTCTCTATCTATGCTTATGGCATTCCCCATATTGGGTTCATTTAATTGAAATGCAGATTCAAATGCTAGCTTAAAAAAAGAGCATTATTTCACTGTCATTACAAAACACAAATATTATTACTTGTATATCTGAAATTTCACTCTTACTACAACCCCATACAAAACGGAAAACACAAAACACTTGGTCAATTTATACTAATTTTCATAACCCGTAAACATCCTCCTATATATTTTAATAAAGTTACTAAAAACCATCTATCACATATTTCTAAGTACGTTAAGATTCATAAACTTTGTATGCTAAGAGACTCTTGCATTCCTAAAAGACATAATATTTAAATTTACTATTTCCAACATTAAAACTAATGGTTGGAGTGAATGTTCTTGTTGAGTTTCAAGAAAGTGTCTCTGACATTTTTCAATTTTGCAACAACATCCTTCATCTTAAGGCGTCCATCTGGAGAATCTGCAGTGCAGGATAACCCAATTCTCAGAATTGTAGTCACACAATCAATCAGCTGCAGATTTGGACCTTTAGGAGCAAGGTCATTGTCAAAAGTGTGTGATAGAAGCTGAGGGTCTACGACTTGCTCAATCTTGTCTGGGAATGCTGATTGAACCCATCTTGTTAAGCTCAGGCCACCTGTGAATCTATCATCTATTGGGCTCCTCCCAGAAAAGAGTTCTAGCAATACAATCCCAAAACTGTATGCATCTCCTGCTACTGATGGCTTTTCTCCCCATCCATACTCTGCATTTATGTCAGTGAAGCATAAGAGCGACATCTTCATTGGGTCAAAAAATTACAAAAAATGGCATTTATTAGGTTTATGAAAGGGAAAGAGCTACCCCCAATTGGATCGAACAATGTTCAAATTTAGCTTAGTCAGATAAATATATATATAAAAAAAAAAGTAAACATAAATCATATTTGCTTGATTTGATTCAAGATACTCACAATAAAATGCAAAGTACCTGGAGGTATGTAGCCGATTGAACCTTTGAGGACATGAGTGGAGCTTATTGAGACTTGATTAGTTGGTCTTTCAATCAACAGTCTAGCCAATCCAAAATCGCCCACCTTTGCACTCATATCTTCACACAGAAGAACATTGCTAGGCTTCAAATCACAATGCACAATGGGAGTTTCAGTGTCATTGTGAAGATAATCCAATGCACAAGCAACATCAATGGCAATTTTCAGTCTTTCCATAAGATTCAACCCATTTCCATTTGCATGCCTTTTCTTTTGCTTAATCCAATCATCCAAGTTGCCGTTGCATATGAACTCATAAACCAAAGCCAGAAATTCATTGTTCTTGAAGTCTATACTAGAACACGACGTGATTAGCTTTACTAGATTTCGATGCCGTGCATTCTTCAAAGCCTCACATTCTGCGAAGAAACTCTTCAAGGAGCCTGACCTTAAAGTATCTAGTACTTTTACTGCAACAGTGCTGATGCTCACTTCACCGAGATGGCCTTTGTACACCAAACCAAAGCTTCCAGTTCCGATTAAATTTTCTTGACTGAAGTCCCCAGTGGCTCGTCGAAGCTTATCATAAGAGACCATGGGATGATATGGCTCCACCGTTTTAAGCGGGGTTGCTGCCTTTGATTTTCTACTCCTCACATACAATAAGCCAATTGTGAAACATAGTATCAATGTCACCACGATAGCTACGGTGATAGAAACTACGAAGATCTTTTTTCCATGGCCTTGAGTCACACACGAGGAAAGTAAGCACAGTTTCTTATTGCCTTCAAAATGGAAAGAAGAGAGATTTGCGAAAACACCACCACTGGGAACTGCTCCTTCTAGGTCATTATAAGAAAGGTTCAATAACTGCAGGGCTTTTAGATTTTGAAGTTCAACAGGAATGGATCCAGAGAGTTGGTTGGAAGAAAGGTCAAGAATTTCCAAGCTTCTGATGCTTCCTAAAGCTTTTGGAATAAGACCAGAAAGCATATTTCGTGCCAAAAATAGCCTTTCTAGGCTTAGACAATTGCTAATTGAGCTGGGGATATCACCAACCAAAAGATTGTCAGAGAAGTCTAAGGTAGAAACTCTGATCAAATTCCCTACCTCTTGAGGCAAAGATCCACTTAAGAAGTTCTTAGACAAGTTAAAAACAGTGCTTAGAGAAGAGAGACTTAGAATCTGTCTATGTATGCTTCCGTTGAGCTTGTTATGAGACAAGTCCATGAAGACAATGCTCTGAAAATTCCCAAAACTTGTTGGTATTTCACCCACAAGCTGATTGCTTGATAAATCAAGACTGTTTAGCTTCTGGAGACGACCAAGGGAGTTTGGAATACTTCCAGATATCTGATTCCCAGCCAGATTTAGCTCTTGCAGTTCCTCCAATTGGCTTAGCTCGGAAGTAATTTCTCCTGAGATTGCATCATTGTGACTCAAGTTTAACAAACTCAAGCCTCTAAGATTTCCAATTGATGGGGGTATGTTTCCATACAAACGATTCCCTCCCATGTATAATTTTGAGAGAACCTTGGAGAGATTTCCAATGGTCTCTGGAATTACACCTTCCAACCTATTGCCATCAATTGCAAGAAAGTTCAAGAGGGTGCTGTTTGCCAGTGAAGTAATGAAGTCTAGACCTCTGTCTCCTGAGCTTACTATCCTATTATATCCTATATTATACATGCGAAGGAATGGAAGATTTCCAAGACCTGGTGGCACTGTTCCTTCCAAGAGATTTGAGGCCATGCGGATAACTCGGATGTTGGTAAGATTGTGAAGAGACCCAGGAATTCTACCTGTGAATCTATTAAAGCAGAAATTGAACACTAGAAGTTTTGGAAGTTTGTGACCAACATCCTGAGGAATATCACCCCAAAAATCGTTGGCAGCAACAGCCAAGTTAACAAGGGAAGATAAGTTATAAATAGAAGGAGGAATAGTCCCAGTGAGATTGTTAATGGTGAGATCAAGCTCAGTTAAGTTCTTGAGCCTGCCAAATTCATTGGGAATCCCACCCCTCAGACTGTTTGTGCCAAAGCTGATATTTGTGAGTGATGAAATATTTCCGAGAGTAGGTGGAATTGCACCATAAAACTTATTGCTTCCCAGTTTCAGGACTTGAAGCTTTTTCATGCTATCAATATCTTGAGGAATTTGGCTGGCTATATTGTTTGAAGATAAGTTCAGTTTGACGAGGTTGACCAAGCGAGTGATGTTTGAGGGAAGCATGCCTTCTATTCTGTTAGAACTCAAGTCTAGGGCTCTTAACCTAATGAGATGGCCAATTTGCTCGGGAATCACTCCTGTAAACTGGTTACCCTGCAACTGAAGGGACTCCAGAAAAGAGAGGTTACCTATATAGGGGCTTAACTGACCTGAGAGTCTTAAGCTTGAAAGATTTAAGCCTACCACTCTTTGGCCAAACCTATTACAGGTAACACCATACCAGTTGCATGGTGATGATGAACTCTGGTTCCAAGAAGATAGAGGGTGAAGAGTATCAATATCACTCAATTGGGACTTAAATGAGATCAAAGCTTCTGTATCTGTGGTGATGTCTAGAGCGGTTGATGATGATATACTAAGAAAAAGGCAGTGAATAGCTAAGGGACTGATATAAAATACAAAATGAAGCGATTGTTTAGAAAAGAAGCCCATATTTGGTGGTTTGTTTCTTGGCGTTGTTTACTTCACTACCCGTGGATTTGTATTTATAGTGCTAATGCGATCCTCCACGTGGTTACCTTGAACCATTAAAAGGGCAATAAAAAAGTAGAAAATTAAAGAAGGACGAGAAATTATTACAAAACATCTAATATACCATGTCATCTATATTTTATTCAATAAAAACATAATATCATATCAAATGATTGTAAATATGAATTGATTTTATCATTAATGATAATAAAGAGAAAATAGATAATTAATTAAAGAGCAATTCTAAAAATAAAGTTCTTAAAAATGACATATTTTTATTGGATAGCATATGAATGACGCATCCATACAAGAATTTTTAAGGAAGGACATCTTTGTGCCCAATATCCACTGTTTTCTTATGTATTGACTGGGCAATCAGGTCTGGAGTCTTCCTTTTATTTGGTATAAATTTGACTTTATGGAGGGAAGAATTATTGTTCAATATCCAGATTTATTGACTTGATCAATTAGCTAGTGCTCATGATATGGAAAATTCTCAATTTAGTGCAGGTAAGCGTTTCATTAGTTTTACACCAGAAAAAAGGAATTTTTGTGTGTATTGCTTACGTACATAGATTTGTAGAGATATAAGACGTGAAAATTTAATTATGGTCATCCTATATATATGCTGATCGATATGATACTACACTCAAAAGTTACTCAAATTTTATTTTTAATATTAGTGGACTAAAATGTTAAAACATAACTTGTGTATCCGCCAGAAGATATATTTGTATTTTCCTCTTGGTATCATGTTTCATAACGATCCAGGTCAAAACAAAAAACAAAAAAAAAAGTTCATGACGCACGATCATCGTCTGTTTTGTGAGTGACCTTTTAATCATTTAGAGAGGGAATGGTAATATCCCTCCAAAAAACAATTGTGCTTGGGTTTGCATTAATTGAGTTTAAGTACACCATCATTTAGTATTATAAGTTATTTTGCTGGAATATTGTTTTAAAAAATATAAAGTATTTTGAGTCTATCAAGGTATAATTAAGGATTAAGATGCATTTTTATTTTTGAATTTTTTTTCGAAGAGCATGGAATATCCTGGACTGATAAGTAAGGCAATTTTCTCCCTCAACCACTTTTTCAAGGAACAAAAAACCTCTTCCATTAGGTTTTAAATAATATTATTTAAATTATTAAATATGAAAATGTTTAATATTTTAGTAATATTTATTAAAATTTTATTTTTAAAAAACTTCAAGATGCCCAATATTCCTAAAAAAAATTTTAGGATATCCAACACTCTTAAAAAAAAAGTTCATAGGCAAATTAAAAGATATGATTAGAATCTTACCTGTCACTATTATGTAGGCTCTATGCACATGTTACATCAGTAGAAAATATGGCAAAGTTGACAATTGACTAATAGAAGAGATTTTTTGCTCCTCAAAAAAATAATTTAGGAAAAAAATTATCCAACTTATGAGTACAAAGTGCCCAACACTACTTGAAAAAAGTTTAAAAATAAAAATGTACGTGAATCCTATAATTAAAAAAGGTATTTTGAGTCCTTAATAATAAGTTTTTGTTTAAAAAATGTCCTTAATTAGGAGTGTAAAATTAACAAATTTTTCTAATAAAAGAAATTTATTAAATAAGAATAAATATGAAAAGAATATATAATTTTAAATGTGATCTATTAACTTATCAAAGGTGTAAATTGTTAAAGTGCAAGGAACCAGATTTGTTCTTTTTTTGCTAAATTCACTTTGGCAAAAACTAGCCTAGCTAAACAGGAGAGAAAAGCCTTCATGAATTAACCAATGGAAATTAATTGGAGCAAGCCAAAAAAAAAAAAAAAAGAGCTAGAAAACTGCTCTTCAGGTACTTGAATATAAAACACTCTCTCCATTTTTATATATAAAAAAAAAACTATATCACACAATTTAAGAAAATCGACTAAATACAATAATTATATATGAAAATAAAAAAGTAAACTAAAATGTCCTATGTTAATCAATATAATCATACATTAATTATTTTTTATTAATGTAAATTTTGAAGGATGATTTAAGAAATATATTATAAATGCTTATTGGAATAGGTGATTTTGTTTATAAAAAAATATAAATCAAAGGTGATAGTTTTTTTAACAATAAAAAATGAAAGGAGTAGTCATTAAGTAGCGTTGGGTACCAGAGTAAATTATACTAAAAATGTTTGCATGGGCTTGTTGCATTGTACACCTCCGGTCTTATATTAAATTAATTTTTATAGAGAATTAACAATTCCTTTTACAACCCACTTTGCATAAAAATAGGAATCAATAATTATTTCTTTCAATTTTATTCTTTTATAAGTCGAGTAAAAGTTTATATATAAGAGAGAAAATATTTGTAAAGATAATGTATTTAATATAAAAGCAAATCGAGAATTTTTTTTTTCAAACAACATCATAATTTAATTAACTCTCGTTAATCCCTATAAAATAGTTGAAAGCTAAGTAACTTAAATACGGGACCTAAGGAAGTACTTTTGTGAGTTGGTTAGCACATTGTGTTTCGTATATTAATTAAATAAATTTTGAATATGATTAATTTTGTAAGAATGAGAAAAGTATATCTTAAACTCTTGCTTTAAAAATGTCCTGGATCATGAACTTTTAAAATATATAACATAAATCTTAAACTTTTAAATTCGTAGCAAATTAAACTCTACCATTATCTTTTTCTAACGCCATTACTATTCACCGTGGGCCCTAGTTAATTAGTGCCACAAACCCTAAACTATTATGTGAGTAGCGTCATGAACCTTGAACTACAAAATTTCAAGCAAATTACCCACACCGTTTATGTATAGAATGTTGACTATTATATAGACCAAATTAACCCCAGCATGGTTTGCCACAGTGAATGCATTGCTAGCCATGGCAAATAACCCATAATTTTGTGAAATGATGTTTTTTGCCCTTGTTTTTCAATATTTTTCAAATGATTGATATCCCATACTTTCGTATATTCTATAAATTTAATTTAGTCTTATTTTAAATATTATTTATTTATTTAATGGTGAAAACTTAAAATCTTATTTGAAAAGAAGTTTAAGTATCATAGAATTTTACAGATGATGGAGGTGAAAGCCGATAATTTCATCAACGAATTTAAAACCTCAAGTAACCAGTTAATTAAAATTCTCTAATATTTAAATTTCTTTTCTAATAGGATTCCAAGTTTTCACCGTTAAATAAAAAAATTATTTAAAATAAGATTAAATTAGAGTTATAGAATACACAAAAGTATGAGATATCAATCATTTGAAAAACGTTGCAAAAAAAGGGTAAAAAACATCATTTCACAAAATTATGGATCGTTCGCTAAGGCCAATGATGCATTCGTCGTGGTGAACCGCGCTGAGGCTAATTTGGTCTATATAATAGTCAAGGTTTTATACATAAATGGTGAGAGAAATTTTTTTAAAATTTTAAAATTTAAGGTTCAAGATACTACTTGCGTAATAGTTTAGGATCTATGGTGTTAATTAATTGGGGCCCATAGTGAACAATAATAGCATTAAAAAAGATAACGGTAGGGTTTAATTTGCTACAAATTTAAAATTTTAAAATTTATTTTGCATATTTTAAGAATTTAAAATCCATGACATTTTTTGAGTAAAAGTTTAGGGTTTATTCAGCTCATTAATTTATTAATTTTTGAATTTTAAATTGAGAAAATAAGATTTAACACAATCATGAAAAGCTGAGATAGTTTACATGAGTCCTTAGCCCCAAACCTCACATATATTGTTAGTAAATATGTTCGAGCTTTAACAAGCTCCGGTGATGAAGATTTTTTTTTTTTTTTTTGGGGGGGAGTGGGACGCGGCATGCTCCTCTGTTGGGTCGAAGCATGCTCCAACTTCATGGGGGAGAAATTTTTTTCCCTAAATGTTGGAAAATTGAATCTGTGGGAGGTGTTGGACAGGGAAAAATTTGCAAGGAAAAAAAAAAAAGAAAAGAGAATGACATTAAAGTCTTAAAAGATTAAATTAATGATATAGGTCCTCAACAATATTTTTTTTTTCAAAAATGATCTTGCAAATATTAAAAATCTTAATTGCTATATGAGAGTTACATTAAGAACTTAAATATCTTATTTCTTGTTGAAACTTCTAAATTTACAATTATTTAAATTAATATTTAAAAGTTAATTTTTAAAAAATTTTATCAGGACTTAATTGTGATTGATTTTTGTTTTTGAACTTCGTTATCATTCTCCTAAAAAAAATAAACCTCTTACTCTCTTCATCTTTATATATAAGATATTTTTTAAAACTTTATTTTGTCTTTAAATATAAAAGGTATTATAATATTTTTAGTATTTAAATAATTTTATTCTTATCTTAAAAAATGAAGGAGATATTAATTATATGCTTTACCCATCATTATTATGATATTAACTGTAATATTAAAAAAATAAATTTAAAAATCATTATGATTTTAACTAAATAATAATTTTTATTAATACACGGGATTCAATTAATATACACATGTATATTTAGGGATGTAAATATATATATATATATAAAGAACGGAGGGAGTAGATTGAAGAAATCGAATGTGAAACCATAATCTCCTTGTTTGCGTGTTAACCGGGCCATCAACGAAGTCTTTTCTCAAGTCAATAATTAGACTTTATGGTGAGATTTGACAAACAATTTCAACCACGGCAATGAAGTAGACTGTGACATGCGCACAAAACGGACAGAGAGATGCATATCATTGTTTTTGTCCCCTTTTTCTCTTTTCTTTAGCCATTGATTATTGAGGTATTTAAAAATTAAAGCCATTGAATGGGGAATATGGTTGACTAGAATTTTCATCGTCGTGTTAAATTAGTGTTCATGATATGAAATATTCTTGATATATAAATGCAAGTTAAGAAGTCCAAAATTTCATACTAGCAAGATATCGACATATCCCGTTGACTGCATGCGAGCTTGCGACACGATA